AGCGGTTGACTTTAATCACACTGGAAGAAAGCCTCATTTGGCTATACTAACCCACCCACATAGTGTTGTGGACCAGCCTGAGGTGGAGTAAGGCTTTTCCAGCCACCAATTTGTCCTGAAGTTCACGCTTTGTATAGAGTAGACGAAGAAAGATCAAGTCTCGCTGTAAAAATATGTCGTTTTTATACTACTATTCGGCCCATCAAGAAGTTCCAAGTTGTAACACTGTACTCTCCTTTCTTGACGTCAGCCTTGTTATGTGTGCGTGTTTTGTCTGTCTTGTGGGGATATAAATCTGATTACACAGTCACGTTATGGAGAGAATTGCACGTGCCAATAACATAAACCATTACATTTTTGGGTGAAGACTTGGTTTAAGGTTAGGGTAAAGCTAGGTTAAGGTTATGGTAAGTCTCCATAAAATGAATGTAAGTCAATGTAATGTCCCCAGAAGTCATGAAAACACATGTCTTGTGTGTGATTTGGATATAGGGTGGATGAGGAGGGGGGGCATTGAATGAGGCGAGGTGGTAATAAATGGACTGTACTTGTATTGCGCTTTTCTAGTCTACCGACCACTCAAAGTGCTTTAACACTACATGTCGTCATTCACCCATTCACACCCATTTATACACTGATGGCAGGGGCTACCATGCATGCCCACGAGGACAAACTAAAAATTCATACCCATTCATTCACCGCAGGCACAGTTTGCAGGAGCAATTCGGGGTCAAGTATTTTGCTCAAAGAAACATTGACATGGCGTTGGGAAAATCGAATGATTTAAAGGAATATGTTGACTTACAAAGACTTATATCCTCATGTGAACTTTCGAGGCCTGTGTCCTCGTATGTCTGGGTGTCTGAAACCTCCTGACACCAGAGTCTCAGATATCTTTCCTCTTGGGGGATAGCAGGTGTTTGTCCTAAATAACCGACAATAAAGCTGTCGCAGACGTCAATACTTGAGCTGATTTGCTGCTAAGACTTCCTGATTTCATAATGTGACCTTTGTGCTAGAACAAACTGTTGAAGTGTTGTTCCAGGTTTGGTGAAGATAGCGCTGTGTGAAAAGCCATACGTGTGTATGTTATCCATGTGTGGCAAAGCTTATCGTAAATTACGCTGCACCACCACGCTGCTTGTGTTTAGCAGTATATATGACTGAGACTCGGAGACGAACCTCCGAGCAGCCTTGATACGTGTACTCTGTATGTGTTTCAACTCTGTTCCTTCTTGCAAGAATAAAAGTCCTGTGATTAATGATTTTTACATCGGCCTCGAGTGAATTTTTCTAACACATGGACTAGCGGAGCCGGGGATCGAACCGCAGATTCTCTGATTGAAGGACGACCCTGCTCTACCACTGAGCCACAGTCACCCAATACAACACACAATATAAATAACTTTTACATATAAATATACATACATTAATACAAACATTTTTACTGAAGCAATATTTTGAATAAGACTTTTTTGTTAAAGAGTATACTGTATACCTAGGCCTAGTACATTACTTAGTTATTTGAACCCTCTCCCTGCAGGAAGGAAACAGAGCATCCCAAATGTAGCAGTGCTCTCGATCAAGAGCTTAAGTTTGCATATGGACAGAATGGACATGTCCCCACCAATATTTGAGCAAAGTTCTTCAATAACGTGCACATTATCTTTGGAGTGGAAAGACGCACACGCACAGGGAGAAAGAGAGAGGAGCAGACTGAGGAGCAGAATCACTTGTTGACCGGCGCGGAGTAATGCACTTCTGGTGTGATCATTATGGCCGCAGCTGTGAGCTCACTGAGGAATTTATTTTCCTAAACGGCGCTTGAGACTGACAGCCATCAATAAGACCGCTACATGTGGTGGTGAGGAGCGTGTGGCGCACCGCAGAGTCTCCGTTGCGCTCCGTGCAACCAAACCTACGGCCTTGCTCTTGATGTTCTTGTTGTTCTTGCTTTCATTTTGGGAGGTTTTGTTGTACCTTTGATGTGCATTCATTTCGAACATTGTCTTCGGCTATTGCTTCTCGTGCATTGACAAACTTCATCCTTACAGAACCATGGAGAGCAGACAGCGGTCACCGCTGTTCATCGTTTCGGAATGAAGATGCATTATGCATGTTGGGCGCCTGTACGACATCAACATGGTTGAAGAGGCATTTATGCATTCAGCCAAAATGCTATTTACCACAGGCTTAAGGCTAACAAGATAAAGCGTGTGATTGTCTGAGCGGCTGATTGATGCAGCTGCCCGCCGCAACTGGCCTGGCATTCAGTATGCTAAAAGAGGATAAACACACTTTTAGCATACTGTCAGGGGTAGGGATAATAATCTCCATTTGTGAGCTGTTTTTTGCTCTCTTTCCTTTTTTCCTCCTCTGTTTATTTTCCCCATTCCCCTGTTTGTCTGTATGTATGTGTGTCTGTGTGTGTGTGTGTGGGTGGTGGCTAATGAGGTGGAGGCAGGTGTCATAAAGTCTCATATGGTTGCAGAAATCTGTAACAGACGATTGCACTGCACCATGCGTTGTGCAAGCAGCCGATATTCAGTCCTGATGTGGTTTAAATAGCTGCTCGTCAGTGCTCCCTTAATCCCTTTACAAACAGTCTCTACTTTTACAAGTGACCTTTAAACAAGCACACAACATGCAGAAGCAATGTGACCCCTGCTGTGATAAGATCCCAAAGACATGCCCTTATAAATTTTGACGACATACCATGAAAACCCTCAGACACACAGACATTCTCCTTCTTTGCGACTGGCATGTTTATATCGTTGCACCTTCTTGACTCTGATACGAGTTCTTTGACATTCAATATGGCCGTAAAAGCAAATGCAAGCTGTCGGAGAGATTTGTTTCTCTCATGTGCATCGCAAGTGTCTCCAGTCAACCATTTATCATTTCAATCCTATTACCAATAGGCTGTAGTTTCATGACTACCACATGGGGGCTGCTCACCACATGGTTGAGTGGCTAAGCGTATTGACTCGCAACAAAGAGAGGCTCTGTGGTTAAATATGGAATTCTGATTTCAAGTGGTGACAAAAAACCGAAAGAAATAAATCCGTTATTTTTAAAGCAAATAAGTGTTACTCAAATACTGTGATTTATCTGCCACAATTTTTTTGACAACAATTTTGGCCATAAACTTGGCTGTCACGTAAAATGGCAACGTTAGCAAGACAACAAAAAAAAAGCAAAGATTGAACTGACTAACTGCAAGCTGCCCATGGCAATTGGCCATATTAGCTACACATGCTAACAAAAAATTAGGAGGTTTGCTTTGGGTTTTTTGGTGTTGACTGTTGACTGTTTTTTAAAGAATTGCAGACATCAAACTTACAAACAGTTCAGGATGGTTTGTTATTCATTTGTTATATTCACACCAGAGTACCGAATAATACCTTTCAAAAGGCTATCATTGAAGCCCATGGAACAAAAGATAAGATATGAAAATGTCAGAATTTAGTGCCCAGTGGAAGTATCAAAACAAACAGCTGGTTGTGTGTCTGTGCTGTGTTTGAGTACATCTTTGCCTTTGATTTAAAGGTTAGCAGGAAATCTAGCTTGTTCTTTTATTGGCCTCCAGACTACCCTCTATATTCTTTTGTCTTCACGTTTATGGAAGTGGAGTCGCTAAGCCTTGTAATATGCATCGTCATATAATCCTAAAGATATCCGTTCATAGAACAGTAATAGAACAAAACGTTAAAATCTCTAAAGCTTGTGTTAGCCACAGACCAAATTTCAGCCATCTAACGTGAAACCTTTTAAAAAAACCCATTGACTTCAAGACGAGGGATCCGAAAATGCAAAACAATGCTCACCCAGTTCCAGGTTAAAGACTCATTTCTGCAGCAGTCTATTGTGGAGAACTAGATACCACATTCAAATATGGAGCCCCCTTCCTTAGTTTAAAAGTTGCTCAATGGGCTGCTTCCGCAGACTTCCTCACACTTCAATTCTTTTGGGCCACATTGAGCATTCACTCTTGAGTACCTCTAAAGCTGAGCTGAGCCGATTAGGAGCACACCAGCCGGGTCTTCCACTGCACGAGCCAGCTGACTTCCTGTTGGCTCCCCGCACACATGAGCGGGATGAAATGATTATGATACCGCTCTTCTGCATCGTCCAAAGGTTATTGCACGGAATGCAAATAACAAAAATTAACAAAAAGTCATTTTGATGTGAACCCAGCATGAAATTGCATCCGTTACACATCCACTTACATCTTGACATCACCTTGATATGCAATCACGTTCCCTACAAAATTCACTTCACGCTCACTCTGAACTCAATAAAAAACAGAAAACATATGCCATCAGAAGAATTTCAAAGAGGCTTTTTTTGCACATGGTATGTATGATTATTTTTCACATGAAATTCCAGTGTGAGTGAGGAAGAGCACAAGCCATACGCCTTTATAAATGCATTGTCCCCCCGTAGCCTGTATGCGTAGCAATAGAAGGCCAAGCACATTGTTCGGCCGAGCCAACCCTGCAGCAGATGATGTTAAATGACCATGCTTAGGTGAATTGCTGCAGTGGTAGGTGACATTGACCTTGGCTCTATCCATTTAAAAAAAATGGATACCAGATACACCAAGCCAGAACATATGGGTAGTGTTGGGCTGTCTTTTTACCTTTTGATTTATATTGTGTGCGTGTTTGTGTCAGCAGGGTGGTTCTGTCGGTGCGTAATGTGTCTCAAGTCAAAGTGTTGCATCATATCAGTTTGTGGCACACGTCCTCGTTGCATGGAAATAGATGGCACAGAGGTTAGAGAGAGAGAGAGAGAGAGAGAGAGAGAGAAGAACACATTTCCTGCATACCTCTCACTTGTCCGTTCTCTCCGTCTTCTCCCTCCCACTTTGGGCTTCTGAGTGAGAGTGCCTCACTAGCAGCGTGCTCTTGCCTCTCTGTCTCTGTCTCTCTCTCTCTCTCTCTCCTCGCTCTTGCTCCCTCTCTACCTCTGGCACTCTCACTCTCTCGCTCAGTCCAAGGGGTGGATTCTCCGTAACCAGCTGTAGCTTAATGTGATCCTCACTTCTCATCATTTCATTGATGTTCTCTTGTTTTGTTTTTTTAATTGTGTCTGTATTATCTTTATCCGCTGCCGATGTAACAGCTGACGGTGTTTGGATGCTCCCAAGGTGCACAAAGAGTAGAGGGAATGGAAAAGAACTTTTAAGCTATCAATGTACCATTCTTTTGAATCAAGACACTTTGGATTGGTTCATTTGCTGTTGAGAGACTAATCAACAATGGAGGGATGTTTGTTACTGTAGTGGATGACTCATTGAGGTTGTTCTACCCCCTCTAGACTGCTGGATATAGATTTTTCCTTTTCCTTTTGTTCCACCAGCTTGTTTCACCTCTCAACGACTTTGAAGAATCAGTTGGGTCTTTTCATAGAGTGCAATTTTTGCAGCAAGTGAGAACTTCGGAGGAGCCAAGTGAAGACAAAGCATGGCTGATGGAAGCAGCTGAGTGTTGAACCCTTCTGTCCTGGGAAGGCAGTCCAGGTAAGACTCCAGATTCTAAGATTGTAATTCACTTGCACGGCCAGATGTGATTGTCCTTAAAGGTACATTTACATGCATGCATCAGGGCTGTCTTGCTAAGCGGAGCAGACAGGTCTATTTGAGGACTGAAATGCAACATCAACCCTGTCATCTCTGTCCCTGGTGCTTTTGGAGGAGCATATGTTGCAAAGGAAGAATACTTCTTCAAGTATCTCTGTCTAAATCATGACATTTGGGGATTAAATGGACAAAGGGAGATATCTGTGACGGAGTAAAAACTTCTCTGTGTTCCTTTAACAGTTGCATCAACTATGATACATTTGGCTTATTATTTCTCTCTTTTAAACATACTCCCGGGTGCGTGCATCACAGAAGATTGCTTCATTTTGCTCTCAGAGAGTGAGGATGCATATCGTCATCAGTTTATATTGCTGTAAAAATTTGATCAGCTCATAGCTATTTTTAGAGCGGCTCTCTCTATGCTATGAGTAAAGTGAGGGATTTTCTTTTCCTCAATATGAGTGAGTTGGTCATAGTAGATCCCCACCGCTGCAAACATGCCAGCAGTCAGATTTTGCAAATGACTAGTAGAAATAGAGCCTGAAAAGAAGCTTTGCATTGAAAGCAAGCTCATTAAAGCCTTCCCTAATGACTTCATCTGTTACTAAAGGAGATTATGAATGAAATTAAACAGGCCAGCATAGTTTTCTGACTATATTAGACTTTATTTATGTCTGTTCGAATCCTCGTTAAATTAAATAATAGTCCAAGGAACAGGAGTGAAGATTTTCTGTACAGTTGCCACCCTCACCCCTTACATTTCTGTCCCCACGCATCCAGATATGACCACAGTATCCATGGAACCTGTGGGAGTCCTCGTGGAAAGGGGCGCCAACGCCACCGACTCACCTCTGAGCACGCATGAGGACACAGCCGCCACCTTTACCATCGGCACCATCCTCTCCATCATGTGCCTCGTCGGAGTCTCGGGGAACATCTACACCCTGGTGGTCATGTGCCACTCCATGAGGACTGCAGCCTCCATGTACATCTACATCATAAACTTGGCTTTGGCAGATCTGCTGTATCTTCTCACCATACCCTTTGTCGTCTGCACACACTTCCTGAAGGGGTGGTACTTTGGGGACGCAGGGTGTCGGATTCTGATCAGCATGGACTTCCTGACCATGCACGCCAGTATCTTCACGCTGACAATCATGAGCACAGAGCGCTACTTTGCAGTGCTCAAGCCACTCGACACAGTCAAGCGGTCCAAGAGTTACAGAAAGGCCATCGCTCTGCTGGTCTGGGCGGCATCTCTCGTCCTCACCCTGCCAATGATCGTGAGCATTCAGCTAATGACAGTGGGCAACAAGGTTATGTGTCAGCCCACGTTGTCGCCCCTCTCCTACAAGGTTTACATCTCCTTCCTGTTTTGCACGAGCATTGTCGCCCCTGGACTGATCATCGGCTATCTCTACATCCAGCTTGCACGCACTTATTGGGTTTCACAGACGGAGACGTTCAAACAGACAAAGAAACTTCCCAATCAAAAGGTCAGTACATCACATGAGTGTTTCTACTTCACTCAAGCTTTCTTTCTAATACTTTTTGGGCTTTACCACTCATCTTCAAAGATGTACGCAGTGAATATTTGCATGCATGTGTTTAGCCATATATGAGAACCCGACTCCAATCCCAGCAATTCGACCACAAACAACATTCTTCCTGAACCGTTACAGATAACTGTTGCAAAAATCAACTGTTTTCTGATCTGGCATTTCTAAGATTTGCTTAGGTTTAGGCTCTAAAACTACTTAGTTAGCGTAACAAATAGATTTGGGTAAAAATAACTACTTGGTAAACATTGGGGAGTGATCATGGTCATGTTTTTTTCTTAAATACCTTGACTGTCGACAGAAAACAAAAAGTAACCTACGTGTTAACGTTGGACCTTTTGTTGACCCATTCCACTACTCCAACCTCCTCCCTCTGTGGACTTTGTGGAGAGAAGACAGTCCCTCCAATCCAATCCATGGCCCAGTTCTTGGTTCTATAATAACTGTTTGGTTATTTTGTCCATCAGGTAGAGCCTGATGAATAGGCAGGAAGTTGGGCAAGATGCTGCTGTACAAACTATGGCCTAATAAATTCCACTCACCAAGGCTGTTGATTCAGTTATACTCCTTATGGAGAGTGCACTTTCTCACAGCTCTGACTTTCTGTTTGGGAAAGGGTTTACTAACAACACTGTCATTATAAAGGATGTATATGACTGTAGCATCTGTTCGGCTCACTGATTAGAGCATGCCATTATCAATCCTCTCCCTGCTGCTGCAGCTTTTCTATTGTCCATTTCACACTTGCTCTCAGCTCACGCTGAGACGAAACCTGTTCTAATTTGCTTCATAGCAAGATTTAAGACGGGTTAATTTAGTCTTATCAATGTGTTTAACAATGTGGCGAATGCTGCCATTGACTTGCATTAAAGGTGTTCATAAGAATAACTTAACCAGAACCTTGGAGCAAGATAGAAGGCAGACTGCCTAACTTTCAAAAGTGCTGCTTCTTGCTACAAGAATAGTTAGTAGGCTACTTTCTATCCCTGCCAGTGCTGTGAGTAACTGGGGATATCTTGCTGTGATCATGCTGGGGCAAAAAGGGTTGGACAATCCATTCTTGGCTTTCATAGTTCTGATCACCGTAAGTTACAATTATAATAGTAGGGTGTGCTATTTGCTATATTTCAGCCTATAAACATGCTAATTTGTTGAGTTTTTGTATTGAATGTCTAGTTTGGTGATATTAATTGAATCATTCATCCATCACTATCTGGTGCATCACTGATTCTCATTAATGGTTCAACTCCTATGTCGCTAAAGGTGCTGTATCTGATCTTCACCATTGTGCTCCTCTTCTGGGCATGCTTCCTGCCCTTCTGGATCTGGCAGCTTCTGGGTCAGTTCCACCCCTCACTGCCCCTGTCAACCAAAGTCAAGCGCAACATCAACTACCTGACCACGTGTCTGACGTATTCTAACAGCTGCATCAACCCCTTTCTGTACACGCTGCTCACCAAGAACTACAAGGAGTACCTGAGGAAGCACAAGCGGTCCTGGACAGCTGGCAGCTACTTCAACCGGAGGAGTCGCTTTCAGCGTTCGCCACGCAGGTCGCCATCTTCCAGCAGTCAGCAGTGTACTGAGAGCTTCATGCTCACACACACCGCCTCCCTGCGAGCGCATAACAGCAGTTTGTAAGGTAGGAGCAGATTTTTCTGGCTGACAGTAACGAGAAAAACAAAAGAACTACAATCTTTTAACTACATCCTCTCCCAAAACACAGCTTAGCACTGCAGTAATTTCCATATTTCTACTAACAATTGCGGCCAGTGGAAGATTGAGACTTGGCGGCTTTGTTGGAGGTTTTGTTTTTCTCAGATGAAAGGCTTCTGATGGGTTATGTGATTACAGATGGCATTGATTTCTGGCCCCTCTGAAAACTTGTCTGTGGAGGATTCCCACTTCCTGGTATGCAGTGTAAACATATGCATATTGGACAAGCGGTGCCTCTTGATGTTTATTTATGGAACTGGGGGAGCTGGCAAAAACATGTACAGGAACAATAAATAGCAAAGTGATTCCATCAATTAACTTTTTTTTGCCAGTGGTTTTCGGAGAACTGTCTCTTCCTCGAGGGGCACAAAGCATAAAACAATCAAACTCACATTTCATTTGAAATGAATGAGATTTGAATCATGAGTTATTTCCACCGACGTATGTGTATACGGAAAGGAAAAACTATTCCTCCGTAGGAAAAAAAGCAATCAACTTTATTGAACTAAAAATATCATATAATATAATACAGATCTTCTCTCTTGGTTACTCCTGGTTTCATTATAGCAGTATGTTGCCACTTGGCACTATACTGCTGTGATTCGACCATTTATTACACTGTAAAACTTAAAAGGTCCACTTACTCACTTTTTAGTCTAAATTAAATAGTAAGTGGATGATAGGGCTGAACAGTTATTGAAAATCTCAATTTGACATGCACTCAGCTGTAGCTAATTAGGATTAATTGTAAGTGGTAAATCACCAAAAATGCGATCTTTACTTTTGTCTGGTTGTGCTTTTTCTGCATGCTATACATACATTTGGCAAAAGATGGTTTTGCGGAAGAGAAAAACATTATGCATATCTAACGTTGGAAAAATCTTTTTTGTTCCTAAAAGACCAAGGAAATGGCAGGTCTTGCTCTGCATGAAAGCTAGTTAATCGCCCCATGTCAATTTTAATACAGTAAGCTAGCAGGTGGCTCGGTACTTGCTGGCAGAAAGTATTGTTGGAACATACCAGTTAAACACTTAAGCACATCAGAGCATCAGTATAGGTTTGTCAAGGTAAAAGCTCTGGGACTTCTGGGCTGTACTCAGCCTGCAAATCTAGTTAAGTTAAATAAGTTACCGCTTGCTTAAACATCCACAGGGAATGTCATCAGTCCTGTATCCAACATTTTCAGATATACCATAGCATCCTAAATGCTACTCGCAAACTATATACATGTAGCTGTTACAGGTACAAAGTAAAAATATTGCACCACTATTGAATACCATAATTATAGTTTCATAATATTTAGTCATGTAAGCTGTATGTTTACTTAGTAATCCCATGAAAAGAAGCACGGTTTCAATTGCAAAAGACAAAATCGACAGATAATTCGCAATTTCGTCAAATCATGGGGGACCTTTAGGCTTAAGTTATTTTGTTACACAAACGTTTCGCAAAAGTAATAAAATTAACTTCCAAACTGTATATCTATTGTCTTGTTGGATGCTTTTCTGCCGTGATGCCATTTCTGAATATTTCTAGCTTCTTAAAAAAAAAGAAAAATGTAATAATATATATTATTCTTAATTCTACAACCACAGTATCAACGTTTCCAATAATGTGACAATTTAATTATCAAGCTCGACTTTACCTCTCAGTTATGCCGAGTATTATCTATGGATCATCGATTCCCTCAAGAAAGCTAAAAAGTAACTATGACTGAAATATTATCCTTAATAGTTATGTTATACTGCCTCAAGGTCTCTTCTCAAGATTTCCATTCCTATTCATTTTTATATTTGTCAGATTCTGCCTCTGTTATTTTTATTAAATTATTATTATTATATTCAATGATGGCTCTTGTGTGGAATCTGTATCAAATTTGTTTATGCATATTGCTTCTTTTTTTTTTTACCATATGCCCACCTTCTTGCAACACAAAAATAGTGTTTGTTTATTCATGGACGAGTCCTCCAACCTCATTGAATGGGTTTCAGATGTTGGTCGCTAATGTTCCGTGCAGAGCAAGCTGGAGGACTGAATCATAGTGCAGCAGAGGGGAACAGAGTGATGAGCAGGGCGAGGGGGGGCGTCGGACGCATAAACACACACACACTGAGGCACACATTTGCCACTAATTTGCCACCAGGCGGCAACGGCTTGGTCTGCAAAGAGTAGCTGATGACGAGATACCTTAAACTTTAACCTGTTTGTAAAAAGAAGTCTGATTGTATAGAAGTCTATGAGAAAATGGTCGTACTTCTCATTTGATTTATTCCCTCAGTAAACATTGTGAACATGAGTTTATGGTCTCAATTGCTAGTTTCAAGTCTTCTTCAATACAGCATGATGTTCATTTAGTAATTTATGGTCCATTTAGAGTAAAATAGATAGATGATAAAGCAGGGAACGCTATAGGGCGGGGCTATCTTGTGATTGATAGGTTGCTGCCGCTACCAGAGCCGTATACGGTGTCTCTATGCCACTCCTCCCCATTCCAAATATGGTCACCTACGTTCGCTGGTTGCAAAAAGCCAAGATGGCGATGGACGTAATCCAATACGGCGACTGACCTCGAGGCTTCAAAACGGCAGTCCACAAACCAATGGGTGTCGTCACGATGACTGTGTTCATTTCTAATAGACAGTCTATCCATGAGAGCTGTGTGGAGGCACTTATAACTCATTCCAGATGGGCAGAGCAGGATATTATGTCTGAGTGTTTAACATTTCTCCCAATAAACTCTCCATTGAATCTATTTAATGTTCTACAAAAACATCACTTTTCACTCCAATTCATCCCATAGGAGGGATAAGGAAAGAGAAATCCAATTATTACAATCCGGTTCATCACTTTGCACTCAACTAATGCTTTACCCTTGATGACTGTGTGGTGTGTGTCCAGGCTGCCTGCAGAGACAGAATAGCACTGAGTCATATATTACTGCTCTGCCTTGGAATGCAATGTGTTGACTGTCTTCTAAAAATAACGTTCCCCCCAAAAACAAAAATGCATTCTCAATTACGTTTGACTAAAAACGTATTTTCTCCCTTTTCTCCCTGATTACGTTTGTGTTTGACGTATTACAAATACGTTTCTAATCAACATTTTAACACTTTAACCTTTTTTTTCCCTCTCCACCACCGCCTCTCCTTCGCACTATTACACGGTCAGAATACTACCGCAACATGCCACCTGTCTCCGGCAGAAATGCGCTAATCCACGCCCGGGAACAACACCGAATTGTCGGCCGAGATACCACCTTTAAAAGTTCGGCTTGTATATCCAACAACCTGTTGGTATCCAAAGTCTTTCATAATGCTTAAAAGTAGGTGTGTCACTTCATCTGAAACGTGGGCTTTTCATTTGGGCTCACAGCCGTAAACATGAGGCCGCGTGTCTCAAACTGTCATAAAAAACCCAACTGAGACCTAAATAATATCGGCATTTCATGTCTCAATCAAAAACTGCAAACATTCAGAATAAGGCCTGATTGAGAATGCCCAATATTGTCATATTTTTTACAATAGTGGAATATTGTGCATGTAAACGTAGTCACTGTTAAGACTGGACTCGTGGCGAGCCGGGTGAAGTCCTCGGCTAAAGTCAAGCTAGTGGTCAGGCTATAGCTGCTTCTGAAGCCACGTTTTCTGGCTTTCTGCTCTCACCGTCGACATTTTGAGAGCGGTGTGAAGGTGATAGAAAGTCATTTTGAGCACCTTTAACGGAACCGTACTGGAACGTCACTGGTAATATAATGAATTACCTTTGCTGTTGAGTAATATGCAATATCTAATTAACCTAATCTAATCTAATTTGTCAACACTGGATTTTCTAAAATGGCATTAGTCACATATAAACTAAATACGCAGCATGGCTGCAGAGGGACACTTACGAGACCTGTTATGTACAGCTTACAAACCACTCTGAATGAGCAATCACATTCTGGCCTAATGTGCTTCGATTTTAACCAACAAGGGGGGGGGGGATCGAATTGCTGTTTTAATTCACCAATTATAATTCTCTGTCTTGCTTTTGTGGTGAGGGACAATTGCGATTAAAGGACCTGAGGAGACAGCAGCAAATATAAGACTGGATTCTGTGTAGATGAAACGCATATCGTTTGCTCTGTCTCAGCAAAGGAACAATAAATATTCTATATGTCTGATAGATAAATGTTTGGCTGACTAATACAAATGTTTAAAACTGGGCAAAAATCGCATCTCTTTCCTCACTGGCATTGTATTCATTATTCATTTCTTCATCACTGGATAACAGCAGCTTACCCCTCTCTTCCTCAAATGCTCTGCTGACTTTTGGTGACTATTTGAAAATGGTGCACACAAAGGCTGACTCAGGGAGACTTTACCACTGCACCTGGAAAGTCAGTTTTGGAATAAATGAGCTATTGGAAAACTCAATGGCTCAATTGTATATTTAACGTTGAATGCACTCTCTTCAAATGATTTAAAAGCATGCACCTTTCCTTCTTTCTTTTTATTACTTTCCACATATGTCTTTCATTGCCCATTTTCGTTAAAGAGGCCCTTGAGAAATGCATCACGGCCGGCTAATACGTCTCAGTGCTAAATTCTGACCCATAAATGTTTCCCTTAATGAAAAGTTGCTGGCTAAACTCAAGAGTACACATGGTGACAGCTGCCTGGCAGGCTATGTGGAAGTGCCCGAACTCTCAATGCATGCCGATAGCGTTGCACGTTTTTACTGCAACACAGGACACTACAGGAAGCAGCCAGTGGACGCAGGAAATGGTATTAACCAGAACTTCTTTTTTTTTGCAGTAACTGTGGAAAACAAACTGTATAGCCCAGTTTTATGGAGATGTGGTTTAATATTCACCACATCAGCAAGGGCATATGGAATCCCTTCAACCAGCTTAATTATTCCATACATTTAAAGGACGAATATTCC